AAAGAATTTCAGAGGAAGTTGGAGCTGCACCTCAGTGTTTGTCAACACTGGCCACTCTTGACAAACCCAGGCCCCAGGTGATGCCCATCTTCTTTATATTGTTTTAGAGGTAAAGCACTTTTGGAGGAAATTAAACTTGAAACAAACTTAAAAGAGCTCTACACCCGGGGAAAGTAAATTCTGACCCCTCGTCTCTTTCTTAGGGACTGAAGGCCAGTTTGACAGCTTTGTTTATGTACATAAAATGTATCACAGCCAGCCAGATTTGAAGCCATTTATAATATACAGAACTTTTCCCCAAAAGTACAACTCTCATAGGATAACTTTTGTTCTGTTTTGTTTGTGAGCGGGAGGCAGGGAGGTGGTCAAACAAGGGATTTTCTGTTGTTTTCTGTCTCTAAATGTATATGTTGAGGGTGGAAGAAATACTGTGAATTTAGTGAGTTGACTCTTTTTCTCAGCAGCACTCAATCATGGAGATAGGAAAGTGGCTACAGATTGTTGATGAAAGATTGGCTTACATTCATCATGTGTCAATGGTACATTACTCTCTGTAGCATAATAAATGCAAATGGCTGACATGAGTATTATCTGTAGATTTTGCTGTGGGATAGGAATGAAGTGTGAAGGAGGTTTAGGCCTGAGGAGAGAAGGAAGAGGCAATAAAATATTCAATCATGTTTCCAGGGGTGGGAATGTTTCCAAGAATGGAAAACCACACAATAGAAACCAGAGTACTAAGAGATAATCTTTTAAGAGCATAACTAAACGTCACATAAATTTATAAAAACATTCAGTATTCTTAAAATGGAGTAAGGTGGAGAAAATAAAATTTTAATTTTAAATATTGAAATACGTTATTTGTATTGAAAATATGATTTTTAGCAGTGTCCTTGTGACAATTTTTGCCTTGTTAAGTCCTTAAGAATATCCATATGAAAGTCACAAGAACCTTTCTGTTCAAAACTTTACTTTTTTTTTTTTTGAGACGGAGTTTCGCTCTTGTTACCCAGGCTGGAGTGCAATGGCGCGATCTCGGCTGACCGCAACCTCCGCCTCCTGGGTTCAGGCAATTCTCCTGTCTCAGCCTCCTGAGTAGCTGGGATTACAGGCACGCACCACCATGCCCAGCTAATTTTTTTGTATTTTTAGTAGAGACAGGGTTTCACCTTGTTGACCAGGATGGTCTTGATCTCTTGACCTTGTGATCCATCCGCCTCGGCCTCCCAAAGTGCTGGGATTACAAGCTTAAGCCACCACGCCCGGCCAAAACTTTACTATTTTAAAAAAGGGGCAATTTTTTCTCTTTTGCCTTATTCACCTATAAAATACCCATTTCACATGCATGCCCATTACAGCTTCGTATTACTTAGCAAAGGTTGGATTATCATCTGGTCACTTTCTCTTCCTTATGATGATACCAGAGAGATGTGAGTAGGACAGGAATCTAAAAACCAAACATTAGGATGAATATATGACAGTTTTCTGTATTTTTCAAGAGGTGCTAAGATCAGAATATTTGAAGTCAGAACTCTTCTCTTTTAGAAAGTACAGGACACACAGCCACCGTGGATATGATCTTTAGGCTTTCTATAGATTTCCATCTCCTCTCTCTGTATTTAGCCATTTCCTAAATCATGGTGCCATCTGCCCGTTCAACAGTAGCTTATTGAGTATATCCACTTATTTGGCACTGTGGTAGTTACAAAATCAAGTTAAACATGACTCCTGTGTTCAGAGAACCTGAGGGATGGTTTTAAAGTAATGAATATTATTTTTAGAGTAAATGTCTCAAAACCTTCATGCTTAATTTGGACTTCTTCAAAGCAATTAATTTTGGGAGGGGGAAGCTCTACATTTTATTAATGTGGTTAATACTTTGACTTTTCTCTGTCAAGTATTTACAGAATGGATTTAAATGAAATCTTAATCCCTTGTCATTATTACAGAGACCTGTTTGAATTGTAAACTGTTAACAGTAATTGAAAAACAGAGACCTGTATTTCAGGAATTGAAATGAGTAAATTCAGTTCAGCCTGAAATAAAAGCACACATCTTATATGCATCTTTTAAGCAAGAGCCAAAAAGAGAATGAAAAGCACAATGCTCCTAGCCACTTTAGCAATCTAAACTGGAATTTGGTCATGTTTGTTTTTCCCTGTCCTTATTAAACTTGATTATTTGAAGAACCACTTTCCAAAAAAGCACTGATTAAGACCCTGAAGGTAGATGTGTTACATGTTGGTAAGTGTCTGTGCATGCATGCTCATGTGTCTTTGCGTCCACTGATAATTTATATATTTGGTCACTAGATGGTGCCCTTTCGCTTTGAATGAAAGTATTTTCTATTGAGGCGTTTGCTTTTTATTTTGCTTGTTCTGTTGCAAAGATGGTGGAAAATCATCTTTCTTAAGAAAATCACATTCTCTCTGAAATTGGATCTGAGGCTCTCTGTTCCTCTAATTATGCATAGGAATTTTAATGTGATTATTCAACCTGTAAAGTAATAAATTTTTAGGTTCTCATCCCACTCAATACTTACCGTTAATTTATTTTGTGGGGAAAATACAAATTTATCCTGTAGAAACATTTTGTATCATATGTATTGGACCAATAAATAAATGACTACAATTAAAATATCTATGTGATTAAATCTGCTGTTTTCTGTACTTAACAATCACTTGGACACCTATACAATGCCAATTACTGAGTTCTCAAGGACCAGAAACCTGTATTTTAACCAGCATGTTTTGAGAAACATTGGGTTCTAATCACCCACAGTAGTAGCAAACACTTTCAGTAGAGGTTAACTTCACTGTCAGCCAACAGTAACGAAAATCCCAAAGTTAAGGGGAGTTGAGACTGAAATTTTGAAGGTAGATGGATCTTTGTGTAATATTGCCTAGCCAAATTATTTTGGATGAAACAAGAATTATTTAATAAAAGAGCTATTTACCTAAGTGTGGTAAAAGTTGGCTAGGGTATAACAGAGTAAGGGCAGTCCTGGTTCTTGTTAGGAGGCATTAGAGAGCAAGCAATAGGAATAAGATGCTGCTGGGCTCTCTCCCAACTTGTGTTGGTCAGACACCCCTTGTGCCCTGCTGTTAGGCCCCTCATTTCATAATAAGTGATGCTTAACTTTTTGGAAAGTTTTAACCACTCTTAAGACCTTTGACCTTCACAGTGTCCCTGTGACAGGTTAAGTGTCAAGGGAGGGATCACAAAATAGGATAAGGAATAGTGTCTCAGACCAAGAGCAGCCACCAGGAGAGGGTAGGGGATGGAGGTGGTGACACAGACTCAAATTAAGCACAACTGCTGGACATCTACCCAGGAGGCCAGAGGCATTGCTGAACTCTGAAGCTTGGTGTGCTGTTGTTAACTATGATTTTACCATCCTGGTCCTAACAGTGGGTAGCTTGAAGTGGTTTTCTCCCTTCTCTCCTTCCTCCTTCCTTTTTGGTGAAGGGAGTGGCAATTGCCCAATTGCAACATAAGAATATGATATGCTCTCTGTCGCATTGATTTTCACCCGGGCTGTGGTATGGGGGTGGGGAGATCACAGTGTCAGGGGAGTACATGTGGTTTAGATGAAATCCCCACCCAGTGATTCTCATTCCTTATCCTAGAGAAAAGATGCTTTAGGAGTTAAAGGATTCAGGCAGAACTGGTGGTAAATTGTGAAAGGTGCTCGGTAAACATTTGCTGACTCTGTTACTGACTTGATGCATAGTACAGAATATAAAAGACTTAGCCAAGAAGTCAGTACATTGTAGGCACTCAGTAAGGTTGAGAGATGATCAGTAGTTGTGATAATTGTAATTATCTCTATGTTATTCAGTTTATCATAAAGCTAATGGGCTAATGGGCATAGAACTTTTGACTTATCCCAGAATGATCTTGGTCTATGTCAGGCTGACCTATAAAATAAGAGAATACCTGGATTGCTGGGGCAACTTGACAACCTGATTGAAGAGGCAATTAAGGGGGCTGGTCCCCACCCTGAGGCTGTGGCTTTGATATCTCCCTTTACCTGGAAGGTTCCAGCTCAGCCAAGTGTCTTACCTCCTTTAAGCCTTTACTCAGATGTTCTTTTCTCTATGAAGTCTAATATTCCTCAACACTCTCTCATAGCTGGTACTTCATCTTTTTGTATTGCTCTCCTTTTTCTTTTTTCGTAACATGTATGTTCTAATAATTTATTTGATTAAATTATATTTTGTCTCTCTGCAGAAGAACCAGGTTCTTTGTGGCAGGGCTCTTTCTTCTTCATTTATCTATTCTCGTCCCTGAACAGTGCCTGGTACATAGTAGCAGTACAGAAAATATTTGGTGAATAAATGAATGCTTTCCTATAGAAAGTTTAGTGGCAGTAATAAACAATATTAGTTACTCGATACTAATTTTGGATAAATATTGAATTAAATATTTCTAAATGAAGTTAGGAATTTTTTTCTATTAGCCCTCACTGTGGTGATGTCTTTTAAATTAACTTATTGCATAAAGTGTAGATCCAGAGTTGGAAGACATTGGATTGTAATGACCAAGCTTCTGAGTGATTTTCTGGGGCAAGTTACTAAACCACCCCGGGCTTTAGTTTCCTCTGTAAACAACCTCATGAATCTTTGCTGTGGATTAAGTGAATTGATGCACTTCAAGCCTCAGAACAGGGCCGAGACCGTAGCAGGAGCTCAATTACTAATTCTATTTATACACTACTCACTTAAAAAAAATTATATTTTTATTTTGCAAGTATATGATATACTTATTTTTTTAAAGAAGAAATGTAAATTTAAGTGGTTTAGCCAATTTTAAGGAAGAAAGTTACAGATAAATGAAAAGTTGAGCATTTTCCACAGTCCTTTTGTTATTACAGTAACACACCTGGAATGTTATAATAATGATAAACTCCAAATATTGAGTTCTAAAGTCATTTTTAAAACAATTGAAAACAGAGTTTGGGAGTTTCACATAAGCCTTTTATTTCTTATTTCTTATAGATCCCCATATTAAGGTTTCTGGAAAGAAAGATGATGTTAAAGAAGCCAAGGAAATGATCATGTCTGTCTTAGACACAAAAGTAAGTGAATGTTAAGGACACTCACATGTCAGAACCTTGTCTCTGCAAGGGCTGCTTCATGCTGTTATGAAAGAAGCATTTGGAGAAGGAAACCAGAATAAAGTAATGGTGGGTTTTAAAATAAGCACATATGATTCTACAGTGGATGTCAAGTTCTGTTTAACATTTGGATAGGTTCTCTCATGCTGGGTAATTGAACTACACACACACACACACACAACTATATATACATATATCTACATATATATGTATTGTGTATGCATGTATGAATATATATGTACATATATACCATCTTTAGAAATAGAAATTGGCCCTGATTAATATAAAGTAATAAAGATGGTAGGAATGAGATTATTTGCTTCTAAGATGTCAGTAGAATACCAAAATGATCTTTTCTATATCTCTGTGTTCGGTGTGTATAATGGCACGAAATTCGATGGTTTCTTTTGTGTGATCATGTGCGCGCTCGCTCTCTCTGTCTGCAAGTATATATAGAGAGAGATAACAGAAAAATTTAAATGTGTAAAAATTTACACTCATTTGTGAGAATTTATTTTCTTTAATAAACACATCTAAATCACTTATTGTATATCAGGCACTTAGTTTACACACTCTACATTTTACACATATTAATTTGTTTGATCCTCATAACTGACTCAGCACAAAAATATTAAGTAATTTGTTCAGGATCCTAGAGCTGGTTAAGTGGAGAAGTGGGATTCAAATCCAGGCTTTCTCCTTAACCACTTTGTCTTGCCACCTGGCATTTCATTAGAATGATCTCTGATTACTTTCCTGCTTTCATTCTTTCTTTGTTGGTTTTCTTCAAAATGTTTTTTAAAAATTTACTCCCCTGATAATTAAGTATTTTAGAATTTTCTCCAGGAAAAGGAGGTTTTTGTATGTGTTTTAAAGGTTAAACTGAAAGAACTAAATTTAAAAATTGAAATATATTTAATGGGCATAAATTTAAAATTTAAGAATTTGCAAGGTTAAAATTACTATTTTTAACATATTTTGATATTTTGATTTTACTTTTTAAAGACTGAATCATTTCAGTAACGGTCTTCTAAATGAGAAAGGATTTTATGTCGTTCTTTATGAATTTACAGCACTAAATTCCCCAAATTAAACATAGTCCAATATGACCATAGCATTTTTATGCCTTAGAATTTTGCATTTTGCTTTACTCTAACTAATGTACTTTGAATTTCTTTATTTAAGCCATTTTGGGGCCAGTTATCTGTGCTTTATGATCTCTTTCTCACTTCTTTCTACCAGCAAGAGTAATAGATCTGTTTTGTAAAGTTCAGTATGTAGTAATATAGGAGTTGTGAAAGCAGTGATTGTAAAAACTTCCTTATGCACAATTTTGAGTTTTATTATTTCTAGTTTTGTATCATCTTAGTTCTGCAGTCCTACTGGCATGCATATCTTCAATCTTGTAATTGTGTTTTGATCTGTTTTTAGTTATTTGAATTAAATGCTTCTTGAATAATGTCTTTAAAGAAAAACTGATTATTTGTTAACTGTAGCTGACTTCATTTAAAGGCTTCTTCCCCCCAAAATTATCTTGTTAAAAAATAAATTCTTCTATTTCTTCTGACAAATTTTTCTTAAAATGAGAATTGCTTTTTTATAATCAGAGAAATCGACAGCAGACAAACATTTATAGATTAAGATGATCTTTTTTAAGAAATCTAAGATTTCCCACTGACTCTCCTTTTGTTAATACCATTCCCTTGGGGGAAAGGCATTTAGGACATCATTCTTTCCTTTTTCATACATCAAATAATAATACATTATTTTCACATAGAGCAATCGAGTCACATTGAAGATGGATGTTTCACATACAGAACATTCTCATGTCATCGGCAAAGGTGGCAACAATATTAAAAAAGTGATGGAAGAAACCGGATGCCATATCCACTTTCCAGATTCCAACAGGAATAACCAAGCAGAAAAAAGCAACCAGGTCATTTATCTTTTCACATGAACTTTTATGGGATGAATTACAGCCTTAATTTTCAGTGTACTTATCTTTTTTTTGAGAGGTGACACCTCAAAAATCATATAGATGACATATAGTATAGACTGTACAACTCGCTGCAAGGAGATTGAAGGTGCTGGGCTTTTCTGAGGAGATGAGTTGTAGATGGGCCCTAAACTCTCGATCTCAAAATGATTGATAGAAAATAGGGGAAGATATAATGGCCACAAAACAGAACCCTAAAGGAAGGCTGAGAGAGCATGTCATTTAAGACCTGGAAGGTTGCCTAGTCCAGGAACCTATCCATTGCCTGGTTCTGTCCACAGAGACCTAGGAACACGTAGCTCCAAGGTATACCAGATCACCCTCTGAGAAACAGTGCATTATTGCCTGACTTCTTACATTGCCTTAATTATGTCTCTCTCTAGTTTATACACATCTATGCTAGTTCTTCTGTTCTGAAGCAAATGGAACTCATCTGTCCACGTGCAAGCAGCTTCAGGACTTGAAGAAGAACAGATAGTATTATTTGTGTTATTTGAAAGTATTCTCCCTTCTAAACTAATCGCAATATTAGAAACTGTCAACCACAAAGATGAATAAGTAGTCTTTTCTCTACAGGGACTCATGGTGACAGTGGGATGTGTGCATCAGGGACTAGACAGAAAGCTATAGTAAAAAGCAAAGACAATATTCAGATTATTTAAAAACTGGTATGGCATGGCCATTGATCCTAAGAGCAGTGTCCTGGAACCCCTGTATCCCCCACCACAATGCCAAGACTAACAACTTGAGTCAATGGATCATGGAAAGGCCCAGGAGATTTCAGAAGAAAGCTCCAGGTAGATGTTGGAGTAATGATTATGTACCATCTGGTATGGAAGAAGTTCACGATTTTCCAAACCTAGGGTAGCTATGTCATTGAATATTGATACATATCTGATATGCAAAGACCTTAAACCAAAGGGAGAAAATGCAGTGAACAAGGGTAATTATAAAGAGGGCAGGGTGATCTCCTGGGGACTGTAGGGCTTTCAGTAAGTCCAGTGGGTGAAACAGATCAGTTGACACGAATTACCTGAGGATCTCATTAAAATGCAAATTTTGGCCGGGCGCGGTGGCTCAAGCCTGTAATCCCAGCACTTTGGGAGGCCGAGGCGGGTGGATCACAAGGTCGAGAGATCGAGACCAACCTGGTCAACATGGTGAAACCCCGTCTCTACTAAAAATACAAAAAATTAGCTGGGCATGGTGGCGCGTGCCTATAATCCCAGCTACTCAGGAGGCTGAGGCAGGAGAATTGCCTGAACCCAGGAGGCGGAGGTTGCGGTGAGCCGAGATCGTGCCATTGCACTCCAGCCTGGGTAACGAGAGCGAAACTCCGTCTCAAAAAAAAAAAAAAATGCAAATTTTGATTAAGCAGGTCTGGATGGGGGCCTGAGATCCTTTATTTTTAACAAGCTCTGGATAATACCTCTGTATTTGTCCCTGGATGACACTTTGAGTAGCAAGCATGTAGATTAACTGGAAGAGCAGATGTGAGTTTGATTAAAATAAATCTAACTCTGTATTTTCCTCCTCTTACAGGTATCTATAGCAGGACAACCGGCAGGAGTAGAATCTGCCCGAGTTAGAATTCGGGTAACTATTTATTACTTTAACATTGTAAATTGATGTCAGCAACATTTGCATTATAAGGCATTAAAATATTATAATTTATCATTTTATAACCAAATCATGTCTAATCAGTAGGAAATAGTGGCAAAAGTTGTTTTAATATCTATCTTAGCATTCAGTATCTAAATGTTTATTGTATATGTTCAAAAAGTGAGTTTCTATATTATCTATAAACCTTTTTCATCGAAGATGTTTTCTCAGAGATGTTCTGGATTTTGTCTGACTCAATTTTTCTAGTTTTTATTCAATGATCATTAAGAGGCCTAAGGAAAAATGTCACAGGCAATGAGTTACAAACACTCAGGTTTCACAAAAGGCTCCCTTCATTTAAAATCATTTATAGGCCAGTTATGGTGGCTCACACCTATAATCTCCATGCTTTGGGAGGCCATGGCAAGAGGATCACTTGAAGCCAGGAGTTCGTGACCAGCCCAGACAATAGAGCAAGACCCCGTCTGTCTCTACAATTTTTTTTTTTTTTAATTAGCCAGGTACAGTGACACATGCCTGTAGTCCCAGATATTCAGGAAGCCAAGGTGAGAGGATCACTTGAGCCCAGGATGTTGAGGCTGTAGTGAGCTGGGATGACACCACAGCACTCCAGCCTGGGTGACAGAGCAAGACTCTGACTTAAAGAAAGAAAGAAATGAAAAAAAAAAAAAACTTTATATAGTGCAGCTAAACTTAATATTTATAATAAGGGCAGTTTGTGTTTTAAAATTCATCTTCAGAAAATAATAAATGAATGATACACATCTCTGAATGTCTAATGCTTTAACTTTCTGCTTTGGACTCTCATCATTTCATTTTAGGAGCTGCTTCCTTTGGTGCTGATGTTTGAGCTACCAATTGCTGGAATTCTTCAACCGGTTCCTGATCCTAATTCCCCCTCTATTCAGCATATATCACAAACGTACAATATTTCAGTATCATTTAAACAGCGTTCCCGAATGTATGGTGCTACTGTCATAGTACGAGGGTCTCAGAATAACACTAGTGCTGTGAAGGTAAATTATTCTGATAATTCTGCATATCCTGTATGTACGAATTATATGAGTTTTATTTTTAAAGGATATTAGGCTAATTGATTTCCAGAATTTTCCTTCACTCTACATTTTGGTTTGCAGAATATGCTGTATTTTTCCATAGCTGTTAGAAATGCAATAGAATCTTTCCCTCTATATAGACAGCTGATTTATAGGATTATTTCCTTCCCACCCTTTTCTCTTAGGAAGGAACTGCCATGCTGTTAGAACATCTTGCTGGGAGCCTAGCATCAGCAATTCCTGTGAGCACACAACTAGATATTGCAGCTCAGCATCATCTCTTTATGATGGGTCGAAATGGGAGCAACATCAAACATATTATGCAGAGAACAGGTGCTCAGATCCACTTTCCCGATCCCAGTAATCCACAAAAGAAATCCACCGTCTACCTCCAGGGCACCATTGAGTCTGTCTGTCTTGCAAGGCAATATCTCATGGTAAGGTTATTGAAATAAGTGTTAGATTTCTTTACACCTCTTTGGATGTTTTTGCACCTACCGTACTAATGTGACATTTAGGAAAGCACTTTGGAAGCCTGATCAAATAAGGAATTTTCTTGGTAAAAGGAAATAAACTAGAAGAGTAAGGTTCATAGTGCCTCAAAAGGTTTAATTTCATTACATACGTACTTTTATTTGTGTGTGTGTGTGTGTGTGTGTGTGTGTGTGTGTGTGTGTGTTTTAACTTAGACTAAACACAGAAGAGGTTATAGTGAAATAATTGCATTTTGTGGTAAAGATGGAAGGTGACTGTTTTCATCTGACCTGTAATATTAGTGTGCAGCTTATATTTGGCAAAAACAAAAACAAAAACAAAAACAAACCAAACAACTCCTCTGTTTAAGCAGAAAAGTAAAAATGCTGTTTAAATTTCACTATCAAAGACAAATTTTGTAAGCCCAAAACATTTGTACATTTCATAAATCTTCAATACAATTTAAAAATACTATTTAAGCCACACATTTGAGTGTCACTTATTGAAGGAAGAAGAACAAAGTTATATGTTATAATTCAGTACTACTTTACTACTTCTAATTGATAATTGCAATATTTCTGTCTTCCCATATTTGTTTAAAACCCCTTGGCCAGACGTGTTAGCTCAATGGCTTATAGTCCCAGTGCTTTGGGAGGCCAAGGCAGGCAGATCACTTGAGGTCAAGAGTTTGAGACCAGCCTGGCCAACATAGTGAAATCCAATTTCTACTAAATATACACAAATTAATCGGGTATAGTAGTGGGTGCCTGTAATCCCAGCCATGCAGGAGGCTGAAACAGAATTGCTTGAACCCAGGAAGAAGAAATTGCAGTAAGCTGAGATGGCACCAGTGCACTCCAGTCTGGGTAACAGAGGAAGACTGCATGTCAAAAATAAAATGAAGTGAAATGAAATGAAATGAAATATCCCAGTTTATGGGTTGATAATATAGTAACAAAATGGATGGATGTGATGCTGGGTTCACAAATAATTGTATTAAAAACACCATTGTATTCTCTCATTCAGTGCTTGACCTTTAGTGGCATTTGAATCAGTAAGCCTCAGGTGTGACATTTGCTATTATTAACTTGTAGGGTTGGGTTTTGAGAAATTTTCAGAAAATCTGTGTTTTTATTGTTGATTCCATTCCTCTGACAGATGAGAACTTGTTGGAATCATTAAAGGTTGTAATCCATGATTTTGAGAAATTTGTTGTTAATTTTTTTAAATTGAGCTTATTTTATCAGGTTATTTTTAATATACTGTACTACAAGTCAGATTTATATTTATATCCAATAATTGTTATAATCATGTTTTTTTTTCTGCTTTACAAGTTCTTTAGATGTTAGTTTCTAGTTCAGTGAAATTTTTCAAATATTTTATACAGTTATTAATCCACACTTATATTTGGACCATACCTGCCAAAAATAGGTATAAATGACGTATTATTGCACATCATTGAAATAAATGAAGGAGAAATTAAAAGGCTTTAACCCATATTTTAAATACCATCACCATTTTGTATAGCACTGTTCTTATAAAAATATCACTTTCTGCCATAGGAGAAATGGAGTATAGTATTATAGTATTTCTTTTTCTTTCTTTTTCTAATTTTAGACAGGGTCTCACTCTGTTGCTTAGGCTGGACTATAGTAGTGCATTCTCAGCTCACTGCAACCTCTGCCTCTTGATTGAAGTGATTTTTATGCCTCAGCTTCCTGAGTAGTTGGGATTACAATCATATGCCACCATGCCTGGCTAATTTTTGTAGTTTTCGTAGAGATAGGGTTTCACTGTGTTGGCCAGGGTGGTCTCGAACTCCTGGCCTCAAGTGATCCACCCACCTCAGCCTCTCAAAATGCTGAGATTACAGGCTTGAGTCACAATTCCTGGCTAGGTAATTCATTTTAATCATAGTATGCTTAATGGTAACCTCTCCTGATATACATGTACGAATTCCAGCACTCAGTGGGCTAACACTGGGAATTCTGTGCAATAGAAAAAGTATATTACATTGTTCCTAGACTCATTAGAGGCTGTGAGTAGAGCATTAGAGAAAAAATAAAAATAAAAAAATGAGATAGTTAAAAGAAGGGAAATAGTCACAATTTACTCCAGGAAGGAAGAAAGGTTTAAGTTGCATTAGGTTAAGTAGGATTTATATTGGTAAGGAAGTCTTTGATTAGTTAAGACAGGGGTCCTCAATCCCCGGGGCACAGACCAGACTGATACTGGTCAGTGGCCTGTTAGGAACTAGGCCACACAGCAGGAGGTGAGCAAGCAAAACTTCATCTGTATTTACAGCTCCTCCCCATCACTCACATGAACCACCTGAGCTCTTCCTCCTATGTGGTTAGCAGTGGCATTAGATTCTTACAGGAAAGTGAGCCCTATTGTGAATCGTGCATGCAAGGGATTTAGGTTGCATGCTCCTTAGGAGAATCTAATGCCTGATGATTGGTCACTGTCTTCCATCACCCCCAGATAGGACCGTCTAGTTACAGGCAAAAAAGCTCAGGGCTCCCACTGATTTTACATTATGGTGAGTTGTATAATTATTTAATTACATATTATAATGTAATAATAATAGAAATAAAGTGCCAAATAAATGTAACGTGCTTGAATTGTCTGAAACCATTTCTTCTTCCCATCCCCTCCCCGGTCCATAAAAAAAATTACCTTCCATGAAACCGGTCTGTGGTACCAAAAAGCTTGGGAACCCCTGAGTTAAGATATCAAAGTACAGGATCCTCTTAAAAGATAGTTTAAGTTAGAGAGGCTGGTCTAACCTGGAGGAAGGGGAAGACAGACATAGATCTGTGTTTGGACAAGTGAGTCTGGGCTAAAATGTCAAACTCTTTAAATGCTCCATCATGTTTCACTCAATATACACTAAAAAGCTACCACTGGAAGTCATTGAGCAAAGGCCAAGATTAGTGCCCTTGATGTAGTCGAGAATCTAGTTTCCAGCATAACTAACAAAACTGAAGTTAGAGAATAAAGGAATTTTACAAGATTCACAGTAGATTAAAAAAATCCAGGGCCAAAAACAGAAACTTAGGACATATAATTTTGTCATCCAAAAATGGTTTTCTCCCCCTCAACATTAATGCCACACCTGTCCTCCAAGCTCTGTGAAGTTATATAATTTAGCTTTAATACTTCATTTTAGTCTTTAAATCTGTATAATACTGCATTATTTTCAGGCATGTTAAATTATCAGATGTTTAAATGATTAATTTTTTACTTCCTACACATTTTTGTGACATTTTTTTAGGGTTGTCTTCCTCTTGTGTTGATGTTTGATATGAAGGAAGAAATTGAAGTAGATCCACAGTTCATTGCACAGTTGATGGAACAGCTTGATGTCTTCATCAGTATTAAACCAAAGCCCAAACAGCCAAGCAAGGTTGGTTCAAAGTCTGGACCCAGAGAATTATGTATCTTATCATATTCTGTATAGTTTTAGTTAGCATATACATGAAACTATTACTCTATACAGGTTGAATATCCCCAATCTGGAATGCTCCAAAATCTGAAAGTTTTTGAGCACTGACATGACAGTCAAAGAAAATGCTCATTGGAGCATTTTAAATTTTGGATTTTCACATTAGGGATGCCCAACCAGTGCACATATTTCCAAATCCTCCAAAACCCCAAATCTAAAACACTTCTGGTCTCAAGTATTTCAGATAAGGGATACTCAAATTGTATAATGTATATGTCATTCTGTATTTAGTAATCTAATATAAATCTGTAACAGTGTTCATTATAGATCATCATTTTCTTTATATATGTGTTGTTATTTTGGAGTCCATTTAGAGTAACCATTATTTTTCCATAGTTATATGAGAAGGAAAGAATGTTCATTCTTAATTTGGAATCTGGTAATTTGAAGCTTTACAAAGTAACCTGATAATTGATAAGGTCACTTATATGTTTTGTGTGTGTTTGTGTGCACGCGTGTACATACCCAATGTAATTCAGAAATTATTTAGACTAGTTATAATGCCATGCCCTGTGCAACTTGTAGAGTTAAAGAAGAGGTGCCTGTGTTTTTTCGTAAATACTTTAAGAACTGAACTGTCTCTAGTTCAGCGTTCTTGGAACCTCTCCTTGGAGTGTTGCAAAATTTCAGTAACTACGTGTAGAGTAAAAATTTAATGGAATAAATCTATTTTTTTTTTTTTTTTTTTTTGAGACAGGGTCTCACTTCATTGCCCAGGCTGGAGTGCAGTGGCGCCATCATGGCTTACTGCAGCCTCAACTTCCTGGGCTCAGGTAGTTCTCTCACCTGAGCCTCCCAAGTAGCTGAGACCACAGGCATGTGCCACCACACCCAGCTAATTTTTTGCATTTTGTGTAGAAATGGGGTTTCACCATGTTGCCCAGGCTGCTCTTGAGTTCCTGAGCTCAAGCAATCTACCCACCACAGCCTCCCAAAGTGCTGGGATTAAAGGTGTGAGTTACCATGCCCAGCCCAGAATAAATATTTTATTAAGTGCTAGTAAGTATGAGGAAAGAGGAATGTTTCTACATTAGTATTGTTGTTTAAACTAGCACAACCACTTTGAAGGGCAATCTCTGATCATCCCATTATTCTAAAATATTGATCCCCTTCCTGCAACAGTTCTGTTTCTAATTATGCACTGTGAAAACACCTCTGCACCAGGAAACAACATGAGAATGGTGTTGAGTGAAAAATGTATATTGCATCATAGTATACACTTAATGGCAGCATTTATGTGTGTATATATGTCTATACATTTTTAAGTATAAAGCATTGTCTAGAAGGATGCACAGAAAAGTCATGTGTTGCCTTTGGGGCAATAGAAAGGAAAATGGAACAAAGTAAATGAAGGAAATGCTTGATTTCTTTAACAAAAATCAGAAACAAGAAAATAACACCATTTTTAAATTTTGAAACTATAATGCTCGCTTCGGCAGCACATATACTAAATTTTGAAACTATAAATTTTACGTGTATAGAATGGTGTATATATAATATGTATTTTGTATAATTTGCTATATGTGAATAATGTGGTAATCACTGTCCAACTGAAGAAAAATGATCATGCCTTCTCAGAAAGAAAGCATTGATTCTAAGTGAACTTGATATAATGAGTTTAAAGTTAGGAAACAGGACATTAATTTTATATATTGTGAAGATTCTTGTGTGACTAATTTGAGTTGACCAGAGTCACTCTAGATACAAGGACTAAAAGATAGACAGGAGAGACAGTAGCAGACTTGTGCATATAAACATGGACAGGCACAAGAATTCCAGGAGTTTGGTAAGAAATGAGCAGAAGTCAGGGAAAAATAGATTGTAAATGAGAACTCCAAAGCTTTGCAGCATCCCAGGGCCATTTAATTATGCCTAACTGGCCCCCATTCTAACTACTGCCTTAACTGCTTTCTCAGCCACAATTTTTTTTTTTTTGGTCCATTGAAGGCTTTTCCCTTCGAGTTCATATTTCAAAATTTCTAGATGAGACCACTGAGGAAGAAAAACGATTATTTAGAATTTTTCTTTTTCCTATAAGCTTTGCCATAGATATGTCACCAGTGAGGAATAGTCGTACCTCAAGGTCTGTTAGCTAAGTAGTAAACCATAAATGTCAAACATAATTGATGATGATTATGCAGTCTATTTGTGGTCACAAGTTTGATTTGGTATGTAAAGATGTGAGGGGGAAGCTTTAGTGTAAAGATGAGATACTGTAAAAAGGGAACCGGAGTTCCCATTCTCTTGCTGCCCCTTTGCAGCTGTGCCCTGATCTTGGCTAAGTCCCTTAACTTCACTGAATATAAATAATGATTCCCACCCTGTAAGGTTTTGCTGAGAATGGGAACATATGTGCAGCTACTATCACAGCTCCTGGAACAAAGAACATGCCCAGTAAATGCCCAGTAAAATAACTAATATTTTAGGGTTTTACCAGAAGGAGTAAACTTAAGCACTAAGAGGTTAGAATTTGCAGATGATTTTAAAGCAGCATTGATATGACCCGAGTAGAATTCTTATTGGCATATTCATTTTCCACCTCCTTCCCCTCCCCCATTCATTGTAGACTACTTGCATGTCACTTTTTTTTTCCCCATTATGTGTTTTCATAGTCTGTGATTGTGAAAAGTGTTGAGCGAAATGCCTTAAATATGTATGAAGCAAGGAAATGTCTCCTCGGACTTGAAAGCAGTGGGGTTACCATAGCAACCAGTCCATCCCCAGCATCCTGCCCTGCCGGCCTGGCATGTCCCAGCCTGGATATCTTAGCTTCAGCAGGCCTTGGACTCACTGGACTAGGTATACAATTTATTATTACAGCGTGTCTCAGTCACTGGGGAAATGCTTATCTGATTCCCTTTCTTTCTACCATTTGGGTCTATATTTAAAGGCTATTTTTTTTCTTCTTGGGGCTATAAGATCAGATGAAAAGCCATGTAACATGAATCAATCCATTTTGGATTTAAAAAGTCTCTGTGGATTTTGTACCCAGATTCTTCCATGTTCGCATAAATAATCAAGGTCTGAGTGTTTTATTTTCAGTGGCTTGCTTTGTTCTAAATTAAGAATGCCATTGAGATTGAAGTAAGCATGCTGACAGTAATTTATGTTTGTTCTCTCTTGCATTTGCAATATTGCCATCGGTCCCTAGAGATAAAGATTATCCAGTTTGCTTTTTAAAAAGTAATTGCAAATCTGTATGAGGGGTGCAGAGTGAGGGTGAAAATAAGCAGAACTCCCATCACCAGTGGTTAGGCTTGCCTTGCCCAGACACAAAGGAAATCTAGCCTGAGGCCAGACCTGTATTTCTATCTAATGTGAGGAATGGAAAATAGGAGAAAGAACAAACATGATCATTTCAGAACTTTAGTTAGGAAAGTAGAATGAGCTGCTTAATAGTCATAGTAATATTTATGTCCTCATCTATGGATTGCTGTTTTATAGGCTGAAGTTAGTTGCTGTATTACAGTTTCGGTAGATTCACTTCTTTCTTGCACATTTCTCAGTTGCATTTATTTTCCTTACTCAGTACTCCTAGTCAATCATTCTGGCTCATTGAGTGTTGATTTGAGACAAAAAAAAAAAAAAATACTCGCAGCAGTCCTTAAATTTTTTTTTTTTTTCTAATAGCTGTTCTTTCATTTAAGAAATTTAATACCCTTATATGATGGACTTTCCAAGTAGCCCTGCCTAGACATTGTTAAAGAAAGATTTTTTTTTCTTGGCCCCTAATCTACCAAAGTTGTTTCTTCTACTGGGACCTGAATAGAGTCATAATAACGTAGCAATGACTGTGAGTCAGGAAATGCCAATTAGGTAACTTAGCAGGAACTGAGTTCATTCTGCACTAGAGAGAAAAAAAGTGAGCAAAGATTCAGTAACCAAATTTAAAAAATGTTTTTATTCTATACCTATCCTGTTATACTTTATGCTTTGTGTATTCTTGGAAACTTGTATACAAATCCACATTTTATGCTAGAACGTATTTTAAATACCCAAAGGAAAATTCAGTTATTTAAATTGAGTATTGACTCCTTAGAACAAAAAAACAATATTTTTTTTCTGAGAAAATTTTCATCATTGAGATGGAGTCCAAGGAAGTCATGTATATGCTTTGACATACATTTAGGGTAGGCTGCCAGAACAGTTCCTATCTGCAACTGGGCCAAATAGATCCATCCTACCACAGGAAAAGATACCCTTGTCGCTGCTACACGTGAGTAGTTTGAAAGGGTTTGTTTGTAAGCAGATGACAAATGATTTATGCAGAAGAAGAAAAATGAGTCTCCACTTGAGCTGAATTGTGTTCATCCTGGCTAGCTGACATGAATGCAAAGCACCTGGTAATGCTCAATGACCCTAACTGCCATCCTAGTCTGGGCACACGCATCTTACATTTTCTGATAGCATCTGTTTGTGGATAAGCTGCTTCCTCGGTTGGAGTTGTATAATGCAGAATTCATATGAATATTTGAAAGAAAATCTGTCATCCATATTTTATATTTAGAAAATAACAGATTATATCATTGTGCATTCCAAGTAGCAATATTGGTGCCATCTCTATTTTAAAATCTTAAATTTATGTGAATTGACTTTACATATTCATTTATTACAGGTCTTTTGGGGCCCACCACTTTATCTCTGAATACTTCAACAACTCCAAACTCACTCTTGAATGCTCTTAATAGCTCAGTCAGTCCTCTGCAAAGTCCAAGTTCTGGTACACCCAGCCCCACATTATGGGCACCCCCACTTGCTAATACTTCAAGTGCCACAGGTCAGTATCACTTAAGTATATTCCTAGATGTGTATTCTTAGGTGTTATCAGTTTTTTAAATAAAATTTACTAATGGTTCAGTTTTCTCAGGGAAAAATTATGGTTCAAAGCATACTCCATTGAAACAGAAATTCCCTGATATGTAAATTAGTTAAAATGAAGCACAGCAAAACAGCGTTTTTCATACAAGTGAAATATCATCTTCAAATGTGATAAGCAGACCTGGTAGTTAGGTTCTAGTTGGAATAACTTGCTGGTAGTCATGTACATTGGTACAATGAGAGGGTTGGATTAAATATTTGCTATGGTGTTGTCCCATTTTAACGCTTTTTTGTGTTTCTGTGGTAAATAGTACCTCTGTTTACAGACGTATCAACATTGAATTCTTTTCTGAAATTGCAGCAGCAAAAATGATATTTTTATTGTTAATAAAAATTATAGTTGATTCTGAATTTGTTCCTAATATCTGTTGTTATAAAATGTTGTTGTAGGTTTTTCTGCTATACCACACCTTATGATTCCATCTACTGCCCAAGCCACATTAACTAATATTTTGCTGTCTGGAGTGCCCACCTATGGGCACACGGCTCCATCTCCCCCTCCTGGCTTGACTCCTGTTGATGTCCATATCAACAGTATGCAGACCGAAGGCAAAAAAATCTCTGCTGCTTTAAATGGACATGCACAGGTAATGGCTTTCTGCTAGAATAGTAGAAATCTCTTTGTAAGAGATAAGTCTCTGGTAGTTATATGTTTAAACTTTCACCTAAAATGAATTTGTTACTTTTTTCAACTTTTATTTTAGGTTCAGGGGTTACATATGCAGGTTTGTTACATGAGGAAATTGTATCTTTAATCGACCTTGAGTTAATTTGTATATATGGTGAAAGGTAGGGGTCTGGTTAGCCTTTCTTCTGCATATGGCTAGCCAGTTATCCCAGTGCCATTTGTTGAACATGGATTCCTTTCCCTAATTCTTGTTATTGTTGAATTTATTGAAGATCAGATGGTTGTAGGTATACAGCTTTACTTCTGGATTCTTTCTTTCCTTTTTTTTTTTTTTTTAAAAAAAAGATGGGGTTTCACCGTATTTTTCAGGCTGCACTTCAGGATTTTCTATTCTGGTTCCCTAGTCTATATGTCTGTCTGTCTATTTATTTAATGCCAGTACCATGCTATTTGATTAACGTAGCCTTGTGGTATAGTTTGAAGTCAGGTAGTATGATGTCTCTAGCTTTCTTCTTTTTGCTTAAGACTGTTTTGGCTATTTGGGCACTTCTTTGGTTCCAGATGAATTCTAAGTTTTTTCTGTTTCTGGGAAAAATTCTAAATTTTCTTAAGTTTTTTCTATTTCTGGAAAAATGATGTTTGTAGTTTGCTAAGAATAGCATTGAATCTCTATGTTACTTTGGGCAGTATGACCATTTTAATTATAGATTTTCCTGATCCATGAGCATGGGATGTTTTTCCGTTTGTTGGATCATCTGTGATTTCTTTCAGCAGTGTTTTGTAGTTCTCCTTATAGATATCTTGGCTCTAACCACTTTTTTAGTGGTTTTCTTTTCTGTGGCTGTTATAAATGGGATTGTGCTCTTGATTTGATTCTTTGTAAAATTGTGACCATATTTGTTATTTTCTATTACTATTTTAGTCTCCAAATATAAAATATGGTGCAATATCCACTTCATCACTTGGAGAAAAAGTGCTGAGTGCAAATCATGGTGATCCATCCATCCAGACAAGTGGATCTGAGCAGGCATCTCCCAAATCAAGCCCTACTGAAGGTCAGGAACTGTATCTTTTCTTCTGAAATTCATTTTGGTTATTTGGAAAAAGGTTTGTAGAGTCTATGCAGTGATTTTTGAGTTTGTTTTTGGTAAACAGCTATGATCATCGTATCTCGATTATGTGGCAAAACAATATCCTAAATAAAATTTCAAAGAGTATGGTGAAAGATTAACTGAAAAGCACTTTCCACAGAAAGAATCTCTTCCCCATTACACTGTAAGTTCCTGAATTAAAGTGAAGGTAATTGTGTATCAGGAAAGCATGAACTTACTAAATGGTGTGTGTGTGTGTGTGTGTGTGTGTGTGTGTGTGTGTGTGTGTGTGTGTGTGTTTCCCCCAAGTAAAGTATCTTTTTATAACCCTTTTAGCCCCCAAAATATTTAAAATATATGCAGGTCTTCTCTTCAAATTGAGTTTTTGTGACAGCCTGAACTTGTTAAGGTGTTCTTTTTGCAGATGAAAGAGGTCTGTGTCAGGTTAATTATGTCTCCATAAAGTAGGGTTCTGATTTGTTTCCATTGCAGATTGTCAACTGGAAGGTGATGTGGTTTACGTGTTCCACTTTTTCTTCTTCTCCTGTGCAGGTTGTAATGATGCTTTTGTTGAGGTAGGCATGCCTCGAAGTCCTTCCCATTCTGGGAATGCTGGTGAATTGAAACAGATGATGTGTCCCTCCAAGGTTTCGTGTGCCAAAAGGCAGACAGTGGAGCTATTGCACGGCACAAAAAACTCACACTTGCAGTATGTATTTTAATCTTAAAAGAGCCTTTGATTTTTTGAAATCATGTGTATTTGTTCTGAACTCTAATAGTACTCTTTGATTCAAGTCATGTTTGATCTCATCCATGGGTGTTTTCGTCTTCTTAAAAAATTATTATGGAATAATATCTGATAATTTTCATCCTTCTCTATCTTCTCTATAGTCCCTTCACCCTTTAATGAGTTCATTTATATCTGTGCCCTCTAAACAATTTGTATTACTCCAAAACTGTAGCATTCACCCCACTCTTCAGTAATCAGCTAGGCCGTTTCTGTTCTGATTTTTGCTGTTCGAAATTTTCCCACTGTGAATTCTCCTTCATTTGGCTTTGAATTTCTTACTGTGGCTCCTTTTTTTCCCAAGGTAGTTAATAGCAAACTTTTAAATAAATGCCTGACATTATCATGACTTTGTTTTTTCCAAATCGCTTTGGTTTATAATTACATAAATTGTATTAAATATAACTCTGCCTTACCATAGCATAGTTACAAGTGCGTCATCCTTACTCTGTTTTCTTCTGCTGTCTTATTAGTTCCTGGTATACCCTTCTAGAGTATCTTTATGCAAATATTAGCATACATAGTTTTATTTTCTTTCTTACTAAAATTCATTTTCCTTTGTAAACTCTTTGGTCAATTAATCAGTATTGCCCATCATTGTCCAGTTCTCCCTTATCTGTGTTTTTTCTTTACATGGTGCTAATACTTAAAATTAATGTTCTTATTATAGATTAGAGAAACAGTTTTACTTTCTTCAAACTATTGAAGTATTTGAAATAGATACCTATTCTTGTCATCACTATGTTCTGGACCTTCTCATCATCTTCATCTGGCTTAAGCTGCAATCTCCAGAAATATCTCCCTGCCTCCAGTCTCTAATTAGCTTGATCTAGCTTTTATTTTGCTCCAGTAATTTATTTTTGAAAACAGGTTTAATCTTGTCACACTGTGGCTTAAAATCCACCAATGCTTTGTGCTGCAAGATTCCTTTCCTTTACTTATGCTTTTCCCTCTGACTTGTTGTTCTCCTGGCCTTTGGCACCAGACAACTTGCAGATGCTCTTAAGTTCCCAGTTCAAATGTCCTTTGTATAGCCTCTGTCAACTTTTGTCAAGCAAAGTTAATTGTTCCTCTTTTTGTATTCCAATAATACTTTTCTAAATTCCTCTAAATTCCCTTGGCACAACAGTTGAATAGTTGAACAAATCATGAATGAACAAATCAGTTCTTGATTGATATTGCAATCCCTATTTTATTTGAGCCTAAGGTGCAGTTAGATTTGAACTGGAGGTACATGCATTCGGTACATATCATGTGTTGTAATTCACATATTTGCTGCTGATTGTAAGAAGCACTTTTATGCTCTGCCTGTCCTGCTCTACAAGCTTTGGGGAATATTTCTTACTTATCTGCTACCTTTATTTGTTACCAATATCATATACATATTTCATACACGTGAATTGGATCATCTACATGCCTTCAAATTGACTGGATCTCTGTCTAGACTTTGCATGCATGAGTCATTGGTATCTCCTTGTATAAATATTAGAAATCTTGTCTATACATTTATTCCTTCTATATCATATGCTATATACCATATATACTATACATACTGTGTTTGAATGTGCATCACAAAATAGTTTCAAGCAGAGTACCCAATTTCAAATTTCAACTCTGCCATTCACATTAGAATATGACCTTGGATAGTATACTTTCTTCATCAGGAAAGTGGGAATAACAAAAGTACCTGTGTCATAGTATTGTTGTGAGAATTAAATGAGAGACTATGTGTAAATAGCTGATGATGGTAAACATGCATAGTAAATGTGGCACATAAGAAAAATTCAGTACGTTTGTATATATAGTGGAGTGTTAAATTCCACACTCTGTTTCACAGCAGCACTGACAGGTTGCTCTCAGACCCTGAACTGAGTGCTACAGAAAGCCCTTTGGCTGACAAGAAGGCTCCAGGGAGTGAGCGCGCTGCAGAGAGGGCAGCAGCTGCCCACCAAAACTCTGAAAGGGCCCACCTTGCCCCACGGTCGTCATATGTCAACATGCAGGTAATGGTCATGTCACGTGTTTGGGTTCAAGCATGGAGAATTCAGTGAGTGTTCAGCAGTAGTACAGAAATTAGGTTTTCCCTCTGTGCTACATTCAAAATGAAATTGAAGTATATATGCTATAAACATTAAAATGTTATAGTTTGCTCTAAACATTAAAAATGGAAAGTGGTATTTAGCTTAAGTGAGAATTCTTTAAAATATATTAAAAATGGAGAATGCTCTGTGTCACTATCTTATGCAAATAACATTATTCATGTGTTACTTAAATTTTAGATGCATTTGAGGGACTGTATTTCTAAGTATTACTGCTTCATGACATAGTCTTGGATAAATACATATATTGTTTTTGGTGTAATGAAGATGATAAATGTGTTTGGTGCCATTTAAAGATAGTTACGAGAATAACTAATGTGGAGTGTTAGTCCTTTGAAAGTAGCTGATGAATATTACTGATGATTTTGTTGCTTCAGTTTTTTTATGATTATAAAAGCAACTTCCTTTAAATAATTTTTATGATTAAACAGCTTCCTCAATAGCAACTTTCAGTGTATCCATTTTCAAACTAGTAGGCTAATCATGCAAAATAGAATATTGACCATGAAATGCAGAAATTTGATTTCCATATAGATCACAATGTGAAAGATAAGGATTTTGTGCTTAGTGCTTTTAGAGATGCTTGTAAACATTTGATGTCAGACCAGAATTGCTGAGTAGACTTACCTTTTTCATCTTCCACCACCAAAAAAAGAGGAAGAACGTTTCACAAAAATCCTAGAAACAGAAAAGCCATCATAGATGTGTCAATGAGATTAGTTCATGGAACTAAATTACATTACTGTAATTCCAGTGCAGTCTGAAGTTTTGGCCTGCTTGTCTGTTTTTTTGTTTTTGTTTTTTGAGATTAAGTCTTGCCCTGTCGCCTGGAGTGCAGTGGCATGATCTCTGCTCACTGCAACCTCCAACTCCTGGGTTCAAGCGATTCTTCTGCCTCAACCTTCCGAATAACTGTTACTACAAGCATGGGTTACCATGCCCAGCTAATTTTTGTATTTTTAGTACAGATGAGGTTTCACCATGTTGGCCAGGATGGTCTAAATCTCTTGGCCTCGTGATCCACCTGCTCTGGCCTGCCAAAGTGCTGGGATTACAGCTGTGAGACAACTTGCCTGGACCTTGTCTTTCTTTTAATCTTTTGCATTCGAAACATTTTCTAAAGGTTTTTGATGAATTTTTTCTTCTTTTTATAAACACCATGGACTTTATGATATGTCAGTGTTTAAAAAAAAAAGACATTTAAGGCTGGGCACAGTGGCTCATGCATATAATCTCAGCACTCTGGGAGGCCAAGGCAGGTGGATTACTTCAGCCTCGGAGTTCAAGACCTTCCTGGACAACATGGTGAAACCCCAACTCAACAATGAACTCTAAAAAAATTAGCCAGGCATGGTGGCATGCATCTATAGTCCCAGCTACTTGGAGGTTAAGGTGGGAAGATCACCTGAGCCTGGGAGGCAGAGGTTGCAGCGGGCCAAGATTGCACCACTGCATTCTAGCCTGGGCAACAGAGAGAGACCCTGTCTCAAAAATTAAAAATAAATAAAAAGATATTTATTACATTCTCTCTGGTGGATGTATTTTCAGTTAAAATATGAATTACAATTTATTTAATAAGTATCAAATCCCCTTTATAATCTTTTAATGGTTTTTGTCTTGTGGCTCTTGTCACCTTTTCCGTCAGGTTTATACCTGCAGTGATCATTTTCTTGTTTCTTTCTTTGAGGATGGAAGAGCATGGTCTTAATGTTTGAGTTTCAGCTTAACTAGATTGATTTATATTGTTAGTGAACAGCTGACTCAAAATCACTAAGAAATCAATGATAATATTCACTGAGCATTGACAGAAAGATTGAAAACTTCCCTGATTTCCTTGGCTGAAAATGATCTCTATCGCCTGATTGCTCTTGGAATGCTATATCCCCAGCTCTCTTTCTACACTTATCTCACTTTCTAATTTAGTTTATAGTTACTTCTCTTTCTCAGCCCTCCAAAGACTGGCAAGTCGGCCAGGTGTGGTGGCTCATGCCTGTAGTCCCAGCACTTTGGGAAGCCAAAGTGGGCACATCACCTGAGGTCAGGAGTTTGAGACCAACCTGGCCAACATGGTGAAACCCTGTCACTACTAACAATACAAAAATTAGCCAGGCATGGTTGTGGGTGCCTGTAGTCCCAGCTACTTGGGAGGCTGAGACAGGAGAATCACTTGAACCCAGGAGGCATAGGTTGCAGTGACCTGAAATTATGCCACTGCATACTAGCTTGGGCAGCAGAGCAAGACTCTGTCTCAAAAAAAAAAAAAAAAAACAAAAAAACAAAAAAACAAAAAACAAAACAAAAACAAAACTCACAAGCCATCAAGGCTGTAGCTTGTTTTTGATTCATTGTATTCTTCCACAAAGCTTAGCATAGCCTCCTTAACCAGCAGGCCCTCAATAAATATTTGGTGAACAAGTAAATTTAAGTTCTCCATATACCTTACCTTTAGACATTAATAATTAATGGTTGATTTTAACTCCCAATGCCATTTTAGTTCTAGGAACTTAAAACTTCATCAAAAACATTGTCTAAAAATCTGGCTTTACTGATACATGGCTGTTTTTTTTTTTTTTAGTTATCACATGTCCTTGTTTATCTGGGACAGCCCCTGTTTACTTTTATTATCCTGACCTAATTGTTATTCACAGCACATTTCACCTTCAGAAATGTCCTGTTTCAGACCATAGATTATATAGGTACCTTATATATGATGGTATAGTCTTTCTGGTTAAAAAGCTCTTGCCGATTGGCCCTTGGTCCTCCTGGTAGGCCTTTGAGACAGGCTTACATCTAGTCTTAGCTAGTTCCTAAATTGGAGAGTTGATAACACTCAGAAAAGATTTGAAATGTAGCTGTATCTGCACGACTTTCTTCAAAATGATCTATCTTGGTTCTTACATAGACTTGACTACATCATAGTTATTCATTCAATGTTAATGGAATGAATCAATGATGCCTTCCTAGCCCTGTACAATAAACAGTAACTAAGTTTAATTTTATGGCATTGCTTAATGTCATTAAAGTTAGACATTTGCCATTTATCTCACTTCAAAAGCAAAGACTATGCCAGTTAGGTTAAATAATTTCTTAGGTTATCTTGATACCATACCGCTTCAGGCCATGCTTACCTAAATGAAGAGGGGATTTTTGAGACCCTAATGAGACCAATAGGTACATGACAACATTTTGGAAATGTATTATTTCGAAATTCAGCATTATTATTATTAGACTATTTATACTCTAGCAGACATTGGCTCTGATGTGCTTGATATTTATGGTAAATAAGATTTTTTTTTCTTTTTTGAAGGAAAAATTCTAACTCAAAGTCAAATTATAGTCAGAAGCGGTAATTTATTATTACTAATTAGTGTTGGAAGCATGTTTAAACTTATCAAACTTACCTTGGATTTCTGTCACATTGTGCAAAGCTTCACATGTGTCTCAGACGGATCCATGGGACGCAGTCAAAACCTTTGTTCTCTAACCATGGAGTATTGGCATGACATCTGGAGAGGCTGTCAATAAAGATATTTTCTCTTTCATTTTCAGGCATTTGACTATGAACAAAAGAAGCTATTAGCCACCAAAGGTATGTGATACACGAATCTATACTTGATTGTTTTTTAGTACACTCATAACTGATTTTTGACTACTCATGGTGAATTGAGAACTTGGACACTCACAAAAAGAAACCTAGAATATTTGGGTTCAAGTTACATGAATTCCATTGAATATATTTTGTTGAATGGTTTAGCATTAGACCAATTAAGAAATAATTAGCATTTTTTTCATTTATCATTACTTTGGATAAAATGTTTCATTAAGATATTTTTAGGCATTTTGTGTTAAGAAATAACATTCAGTGATAATTTCTTCGTATATATTAAAGAAACGACACTTGCCGGTATTTTAATTAAGAAATGCATTAAACATACCAAGCATTGGTGTTATTTTGTTTCCAAAGCTATGTTAAAAAAACCAGTGGTGACGGAGGTCAGAACACCCACAAATACCTGGAGTGGCCTGGGATTTTCTAAATCCATGCCAGCTGAAACTATCAAGGAGTTGAGAAGGGCCAATCATGTGTCCTATAAGCCCACAATGACAACCACTTACGAGGTTTGTAGAGTCATGTCCTACCCATTCTTCTTGTCTGTTTTCTCAGCAAAAGAGGACAGTGCTTCCCCCACCCTCATTCTTCATGTACTTTAGGGAAGATAATAAGTGGTGACTTGTTTTTTTTTTTATTCCTGTAACATATTGATATAAAACGGATGCATTCTTGTATATTATGATCTTTTATCTGTATTCTCTCAAAGTTGTTGATCAGCTCTTAAAGGGTTGTAAATTTGGATGTGTGTTTTGTTGAGGGTGAATTGTGTTATAAATGATAAATGTAGGGCTGAGATTAAGCAAAGGGCAGATGTAATATTCCATAAAAATGTATAAAGAGTCCTTTTATCCAAGGGTTTCATTAGCAAGGCCAACATAGGGAGAAAAAGCAAATATTCAACAAAAATAGGTTTTCAAATATGAGTTAAAAATTCAGTGTGTTCAGATATGCCAAGAACACAGCAAGAAGTATCTCAAACAAAAGCTCCAAAATTTTTATGGTTTCCAGATGTTGGCTACACTGCTCGGGGTGAGACTGGGAAGCTGGCATTCCTACCATATGGAAGAGGGATAGAGAGTTCCATATTCCTCAGCCAGGCTACACGTGATTCACCAAGCAGGCCTTTTCCATTTCAAAGTATCAGATTTGGAGTGCGTGCACACATATACAATGCCGGGAGACTGTACAGACCCAAACATGGATGAAAATGATTAATCCAGGAGTCACAGTGTTCACCCAGAGAGAGCACTGTAGGCCAAAAAACAAATACTGGCTAAGGGTTTCACAATTGTTAGTCTAATAACTAGTTTTTGTAGATTGACCTTTTCTCCACCCATTTCTTTGAAATAAAGTAGGCTCTTGATGAAATGCAAAAGTAAACATGTTGCTTTTTTGTCTCTCGAGTAAATGAAAAGGAAAATACTATTAAAAAATTAAAAGGAACAGTCTCCTATGAATTTCATTGTCAGAGTTATAGTAGCAACCTGACAGGCTGTATTTTAAAGATTGAAGTTACCTTCAACAGCAGAATGCAGGAACCGTTATGAAAAATGTTGAGGCTCTAGGAGGTACATTCTTTCTTCCATTTTAACACAGAGAGAAAATAAGCATCTCCTTTTGTTAGCAGAGACCATAAAACTGCTGTGCTTATTCTTAGAGTTTCATCTGATGGATGGTTACCCCTTTCAGCATCTTTGCTTTTGACAGAGTGAAGTGTGCTAGGTTATTGACTGTGTTCCTCCAGTTTCAAAGATGAAATATTTACTTTGGAAATGCTCGCTCATTCGGTTCTGCTAAGACCAGTAAGAGGACAAGTTAAAAATGATGTTCATTTTGGTAATGGAGCAGTCAAGTGCCGCATTCTGATAACCACTACTGCCCAGATGTATAATTTGGTGAGTGACGTCACTCATCTGAGCTGTCTCATTCAGGTTGTGCTGAGAAGGGCATTGGAGAGGGCATCCAGTGCTTACCATGATGTGTTGCCAGTTCTTAGTGATATTTTAAGTTTCTTTATTTCATCATCATTATTATTTGAGACAGTCTGGAGTACAGAGGTGCAATCTTGCCTCACTGCAACCTGTGCCTCCTGGGTTCAACTGATTTTTCTGCCTCAGCCTCCCAAGTAGCTGGGATTACTGGCACTTAACACAATGCCCAACTAAGTTTTTTTTTTTTTTAATGATTTAGTTTTTTTGTTTCATTTATTTTATTGCATGTTAGGTTCTGGGGCAAATGTACAGGACATACAGGATTGCTGCATAGGTACATATATGGCAATGTGGTTTGCTGCCTCCATCCCTATCTCCTGTATCTGGCATTTCTCACCATTTTATCCCTCCGCAACTCTCTACCTCCTGCTGTCCTCCCATAGTCCCCACCAACAGACCCCAGTGTGTGATGCTCCCCTCCCTATGTCCATGTGTTCTTATTGTTCAACACCCACCTATGAGTGAGAACATACGGTGTTTGATTTTCTGTTCTTGTGTCAGTTTGCTGAGAATGATGGTTTCCAGATTCATCCATGTCCCTATAAAGGACACCAACTCATCACTTTTTATGGCTGCATAGTATTCCATGGTGTAAATGTGCCACATTTTCCTTGTCCCATCTATCATCAGTGGGCATTTGGGTTGGTTCCAGGTCTTTGCTATTGTAAACAGTGCTGTAGTGAACATACATGTGCATGTGTCTTTATGATAGAACAATTTATAATCCTTTGGATATATACCCAGTAATGGGATTGCTGGGTCAAATAGAATTTCTATTTCTAGGTCCTTGAGAAATCATCACACAGTCTTCCACAATGGTTGAACTAATTTACATTCCCTCCAACAGTGTAAAAGTGTTCCTATTTCTCCATATCCTCCCCAGCATCTGTTGTCTCCAGATTTTTTAATGATTGCCATTATTAACTGGCATGAGGTGGTATCTCAATGTGGTTTTGACTTGCATTTCTCTAATGACCAGCGATTATGAGCAATTTTTCATATGTTTGTTGGCCTCATATATGTCTTCTTTTGAAAAGTGTCTGTTCATATCCTTTGGCCACTTTTGAATGGTTTTTTTTTTTTTTTCTTGTAAATCTGTTGTAGTTCTTTGTAGATTCTGGATATTAGCCCTTTGTCAGATGGGTAATTTGCAAAAAAATTTTTTCCCATTCTTTTGGTTGCCAGTTCACACTAATGATTGTTTCTTTTGCTGTGCAGAAGCTCTGGAGTTTAATTAGATCCCATTTGTCTGTTTTGGCTTTTGTTGCCAATGCTTTTGGTGTTTTAGTCATGAAGTCCTTGCCTACGCCTATGTACTGAATAGCTTTGCCTAGGTTTTCTTCTAGGGTTTTTATGGTGTTAGGTCTTATATTTTAGTCTTTGATCCATCTGGAGTTAATTTTAGTGTAAGGTGTCAGGAAGGGGTCCAGTTTCTGCTTTCTGCACATTGCTAGCCAATTTCCCCAACACCATTTATTAAACAGGGAATCCCTTCCCCATTGCTTGTTTTGGTCAGGTTTGTCAAGAGATCAGATGGTTGTAGATGTGTGGCCTTGCCTCCAAGGCCTCTGTTCTGTTCCATTGGTCTATATCTCTGTTTTGCTACCAGTACCATGCTGTTTTCATTACTATAGCCTTGTAGTAGCTCGAAGTCGGGTAGCATGATGCCTACAGCTTTGTTCTTTTTACTTAGAATTGACTTGGCTATGCAGGCTCTCTTTTGGTTCCATATGAAGTTTAAGGTGGCTTTTTCCAGTTCTGTGAAGAGGGTTAAAGGTAGCTTGATGAGGATAGCATTGAATCTATTTTGTATCCTGAGACATTGCTGAAGTTGCTTATCAGTTTCAGAAGATTTTGGGCTGAGACGATGGGGTCTTCTAAATATACAGTCATGTTGTCTGCAAATAGAGACTATTTGACTTCCTCCTTTCCTAATTGAATACCCTTTATTTCTTTTTCTTGCCCAGTTGCTCTGGCTAGAACTTTCAACACTGTATTGAATAGGAGTGGTGAGAGAGGGCATCCTTGTCTAGTGCCAGATTTCAAAGGGAATGCTTCCAGTTTTTGTCCATTCAGTATGATATTGGCTGTGGGTTTGTCATAAATAGCTTTTATTATTTTGAGATACTTTCCATTGATACCTAGTTTATTGAGAGTTTTTAGCATAAAGGGCTGTTGAATTTTGTTGAAGGTCTTTTCTGCATCTATTCAGATAATCATGTGGTTTTTGTCTTTGGTTCTGTTTATGTAGTGAATTATGTTTATAAGACTTGTGTATGTTGAACCAGCCTTGCATCCCTAGGATGAAGTCTGCTTGATCATGATAAGCTTTTTGATGTGCTGTGGCAATCGGCTTGCCAGTATTTTATTGAAGATTTTTGCATCTATGTTCATCATGGATATTGGCCTGAAGTTTTATTTTCTTATTGAATCTCTGCCAGGTTTTGGTATCGGGATGATGTTGATCTCATAAAATGATTTGGGAAGGATTCCCTCTTTTTGGATTGTTTGGAATAGTTTCAGAAGGAGTGGTACCAGCTCCTCTTTGTATGTCTGGTAGAATTCGGCTGTGAACCCGTATGAAACTGGGTTTTTTTTTGGTTGGTAGTCTGTTAATTGCTGCCTCAACTTCAGCCCTTGTTATTGGTCTGTTCAGGGTTTTGACTTCTTCCTGGTTTAGGCTTGGGAGGGTGCAAGTGTCCAGGAATTTGTCCATTTCTTCCAGGTTTACTAGTTTATGTGCATAAAGTTGTTTGTGTTTATGTGGAATCTGTGGTGATATCCCCTTTATCATTTTTTATTGCATCTATTTGATCCTTCTATTTTTTATTAATCTGGCTAGTGGTCTATTTTGTTCTTTTCAAAAACCAGCTCCTGGATTAAAATTTTGAAGATTTTTTTTCTGTCTCTATCTACTTCAGTTCTGCTCTGATCTTAGTTAACTATTTCTTGTCTTCTGCTAGGTTTTGAGTTTTTTTCATCTTGCTCCTCTAGCTCTTTCAATTTTGATGATAGGGTGTTGATTTTAGATCTTTCCTTTCTTCTCATGTGGGCATGTATTACTATACATTTTCCTCTAGACAGTGCTTTAAGTGTGTCCCAGAGATTCTGGTATGTTGTTTGTTCTCGTTTGTTTCAAAGAACATCTTTATTTTTGCCTTCATTTCATGGTTTATCCAGTCAGCATTCAAGAGCCAGTTGTTCAGTTTCTATGATGTTGTGTGATTCTGAGTTAGTTTCTGAATCCTGAGTTCTAATTTGATTGCACTATGGCCTGAGAGACTGTTTGGTATGATTTCCATTCTTTTGTATTTGCTGAGGAGTGATTTACTTCTAATTATGTGGTCAGTTTTAGAGTAGGTATGATGCGGTGCTGTGAAGAATGTATATTCTGTGGACTTGGGGTGGAGAATTCTGTAAATGTCTGTTAGGTTTGCTTGGTCCAGATCTGAGTTCCAGTCCTGGGTGTCTGTTAATTTTCTGTCTCATTGATCTGTCTAATATGACAGTGGAGT